CACACACACACACACACACACACACACACACACACACACACACACCTCTTCCCTGCCTACTTAATTCTACTCAGCCTTCGGGTCTCAGCTGGAAAGTCAAATCTGTGGAGCCATCACAAGTCCCTAAACCAGGTTAGACCCTTCTGATGCATGGTGCTATTGAACTGTATACCTCCCCTATTATAATTACCCTCTTCACTGTAATTTGTGGCTTTTTAACTGCATCCCCACTGTAAACTCCATGAGGGCAGGGAGGATGCCTTAGTGCCTGCCGAGTGCCTCACACACCCTGCTCAGTCAATATTGGCTGAAAGAATAAATTTAAAACCCACCCAAGAAGCAGGAGATAAGGGGGAAACAGTAGCAACACAACAGTCCCATGGAATATTGTTCATTTAATTCACTTATAGACAAGTCTTTCTTTGATTTTCTCTTTTATTTATTTAATTTTTTAATGTGTATTTATTTTTGAAGGAAAGAGAGACAGAGTGTGAGTGGAGGAGGCGCAGAGAGAGAGGGAGACACAGAATCCGAAGCAGGCTCCAGGCTCCGAGCTGTCAGCACAGAGCCCGACGTGGGGCTCGAATTCACAAACTGCGAGATCATGACCTGAGCTGGTCAGTTGCTTAACCGACTGAGCCACCCAGGTGCCCCTGTTTGATTTTCTCTTAATCTATACCCATTTTTAGTAATCTCCAAACCCACAGCATATAATTAGCAGCAAATTAAAAGAGGAAAGAGGAGGTTTTAGAAGCAAGAACAGGATAACAATGAGAATTCACAGAGATCGAAAGAGGAGACTAGGAAAACAAAAAATGAAAACTAGCATTTGTGGCCATACAGAAGAGGAGCCAACAGTATTAACCATGCATATTCTATCCTTCAGCATCCTCACTGGTTTCCTGTACAATTAAGTTCACGGTGCTTCCTCTGAGTAAGCAAAAAATTGGTTAAATGGTGGCATCTTAAATGTGTGAAACACTTTTGGATTTACCAAACATTTCACCTGCATTATCTCACTTGATCCTGTGAGGTAGGCAAGCAGGGAAAGTGGCCGCTCAAACAGATGACAGACTCAGCCTTAGAAGTGATTTATCCAAAGCCATACTCCAATAGCTCAATTGAGGTCTTAACGACCCAGTCATGTTCTTTCCACTGTATAATCCACAGGAGATTAATAATCCCTTTTTGAATAAGCCCTATTTGAAACAGTTAGAATGAAAATGTTTTGCACGTAATTGGATAAACTTCAGTTACCTGGGAAAATAGGCAGAAGGGAACATTCCTATGTTTCTGTTTCACTGAGGATGCACCATGGTTAAAATCAGTGCTCGTATCATTTCAGGAAAAGAAAATGCAGTGCGATTTGAAGCAGTCAACCAAGACTTCAGCCTGACGTAGCTGGAAATAGTTCACATCTTTGATGCGTTTATATCTTCCTCCATTAACCAAACTCTGGGCATTATCACTAAGTGCTGGGGATACAAAGATAAAAGACAAGCTTCCTGTCTTTACACTAAGTTGTAAAGACCTATGGCAAGTCCATATGGAAGTATCCAATAAACAATTGTAAAAGTGAGTTTAGAGCTCTGGAGAAAGACCCAGGTTGAATAGCTAGGTTTTATGGAGAACAGCACATTAGCCATTAATGTAATGTTTGGTGTGGGTTATTTTGACCAATGAGAATGTGTAAAGCAAGAAGAGATGGGTACGGACGTGACCCTAGGGAACACCAGCACATACGGAGAGATCAGACAAGGCTGAGAGAGAGGCCATGGTAATAGAAGTTAAGTCACTCATTCATTTAAGACTACCTATTTTTATTAAACGCCTAGTCTCTGTCAAGAGAAAGAAGGACCCAAGAGCCAAAAGAGGAGAGTGTTTCAAGGAAGGAGGGGCCAGTAGGGTCAAATGCCATAAGGAGGGAAAAAGGATAAAGTCTGAAGAACTGTTCATTGAATGTGACAAAGAGGTCATTAGTGGCCTTGATGAGAACAATCTCAGTGGGTTGATGGGGGCAAAAAAATAATAAGATGATTGAGAAGTGAATGAGTAGAAGGAAATGCATACAGCAATTCTAGTTGACTCTAGAAGTTTAGCTGTGAAGGGAAGAAAGAAATGGAGAGATGGCTAAATACAGACAAGGATCAGGGGAAAGTTGAGAATTTTTTTTTTAATCATGTGAGATACTTGAGCATGTGTAGATGCTGAGGGGAAAATGTCAGTAAAAAAAGGAAAGGTTAAAAATAGAGGAAGGAGAAAGGATTTGAAGACCCAGGGAATAAGGCTTGTAAGTAGGAGATAAAGAGGACAGATTTATTCAACCAACGTGTTAATAGTTAACACCTGCTATATGCCAGGTAGTGTGCAAAACACAAAGTGTACAGTGACAGGCAAGATGGCCACAGCTAGGCCCTGGGTACATGGAACTTACAGGAAGGTGGGAAGGTGGACCTTGGACAGGAGATACAGATGCCTCATCTACTGGGATGACCAAGATGTGAGGATGTCCCTAAGGGCATCTGGAGAGGGCCCAAGAAGTTGGTGGAATTCTCACATTACTACTATTTTCTCTGAAGACAGATGTGGCAGCTGCTGAGATAAAGGAAGAAGTAGTGATGAAAGAAACTTGAGGAGTGAGATGGAAGTTTGAAATAGCTACTTGTAAGGATTGGGAGAGGGTGATTTTCCAAAGTTGGAGATCCTGAATTTATTAGAGGC